GTTATTAAGTTGTATGAGCTATTTATATATTCTAGAAATTAAGCCCTTGTCAGTCTCATCTTTTGCTAATATTTTCTTTCATTCCATAGGTTGTCTTTCTGTTTTGCTTATGGTTTCCTGTGCTGTGCAAAAGCTTGTAAGTTAATTAGGTCCCATTTGTTAATTTTTGCTTTTATTTCCATTGACTGGGTAAACTGCCCTAGGAGAACATTGCTGAGATTTATGTCAGATAATATTTTGCCTGTGCTTTCTTCTAAGATGTTTATTGTGTTTTTTTTTTATGTTTAAATCTTTAAGCCATTTTGAGTTTATTTGTGTTTATGTTGTGAGGGAATATTCTAAATAACTTCACTGATTTACATGCAGCTGTCCAGTTACCCCAATACCATTTGCTGAAGACACTGTCTTTACTCCATTATATGTTCTTGCCACCTTTGGCAAAGGTTAATTGACCAAAAGTTTATGGGTTTATTCTGGGCTCTCTATTCTGTTCTGTTGATCCATATGTCTGTTTTTGTACTAATACCATGCTGTTTTGATGCTGAAGTCTGGGAGGATTATTTCTCCAACTTCATTCTTTTTTCTCAGTATTGTTTTGGCAATTATAGGTCTTTTGTGATTCCATATAAATTTTAGGATTATTTGTTCTAGTTCCATGAAACATGTCCTGGGTAATTTGATAGGGATCAGATTAAATCTGTAGATTGCTTTGGATAGTATTACATTTTAACAACATTCATTCTCCTAAGCCAAGAACATGGAGTATCTTTCCATTTCTTTAAGTCATCTTTAGTTTCCTTAATCAGTATTTTGTAGTTCTCCATGTATAAGTCTTTTACTTCCTGGGTCAGATTTATTCCTGAGTATTTTATTTTTTTGGATGCAATTTTAAAAGAGGTTATTTCTTTACTTTCCTTTCTTGATATTTCATTGTTAATATAAAGAAATTTAACTGATTTCTGTATGTTAATCTTGTATCCTACTACCTTGCTAAGTACCTTTATCAGCTCCAGTAGTTCATGTATGGAGCCTTTAGGGTTTTCTATATATAGTATGTCATCCACATATAATTATAACTTTACCTCTTCTCTTCCAATTTGTATCCCTTTTCTTTTTCTAGTCTAATTACTATGGCTAGGACTTCCAATACTATATTGAATAGAAGTGGTGAAAATGGGCATCCTTGTCCTATTCCAGATTTTAGTAGGAAAGCTTTCAGCTTTTCACTGTTGAGTATTATGCTGGCAGTAGGTTTGTTGTAAGTAGCTTTTATTATGTTGAAATATGTTCCCCCATACCCACTTTAGTTAGAGTTTTTATCATAAATGGGTATTGAGCTTTATCAGATGCTTTTTCTGAATCTATTGAGATGATCATGTGATTTTTGTTGTGACGTATCACATTCTTGATTTGCGTGTGTTGAACCATACTATGCCCCTGGGAGAAACCCAGCTTGATCATGGTATATAATCTTTTTTATGTGTTGTTGGATTCTGTTGGCCAATATTTTCTTAAGAATTTTTGCATCTATGTTCATCAATGATATTGTCCTATAGTTTTCTTTTTTGGCAGTGTTTTTGTTTGGCTTTGGTATCAGGGTGATGGTGGCTTCATAGAATGAGTTTTGGAGTATTCCCTCCTCTCCAGTCTTTTAGAAGAGTTTTAGAAGGATTGTTATGAGCTCTTTGTATGTTTGATAGAATTTTCCAGTGAAGCCATCCTGTCCTGGACTTTTGTTTATAGGGAGGCTTTTTTTTTTTTAATTTCTGATTCTATTTCAATTCTAGTGATTGATCTGTTCAAGTGATCTATTTCTTCTTGATTCAATTTTGGTGGACTATATGTTTCTAGAAATTTGTTTATTTCTTTTGAGTTGTCCAATTTATTGCCATATAGTTGTTGATAGTATTCTCTTGTGATTTTTTAAAATTTCTGTGGTGTTGGTTGTAATTTCTCCATTTTCATTTTTTATTTTGTTCATTTGTGTCCTCTCTCTTCTCTTATGGTGAGTTTGGCCAGAGGTTTGTCAATTTTGTTTACTCTTTCAAAAATCCAGTTCTTGGTTTGATTAATTTTTCTTTCTTTTTTT